GTAGCTTTTGATTCTTTTATTCTTTGTGTTATTTTCTTAGTCTCAATTGCATAAATTTCTTCTCTAATCTTTATAATTTCCTCACTTCTTTGGGATTTGGGTTTGTTTGCTCTTATTTTTGTAGAATTTTGATGTGTAACACTAGAGTAGTTACTTGTTCCCGTTCTGTTTTCCTAAGGTGTGAGTTGGGAGGTATAAATTTCCCTCTACATATTGCTTTCATTGCATCTCACAAATTCTGATAAATTGTGCTTGAATTGTCATTGAACTGAAGCATTATTTTTTGTTAAATTTCATCTCTAATCCATTGGTTGCTGAAGAGTGTGTTGCTTAATTTACATGTATTCATGAGTATTTTTGTGGTTTCTTTTGTCCTTTATTTACAATTTTATTGCAGTCTGGTCAGATAATATGATGGGATAGTTTCTATTTTTTTGCATATAGTTAAGCACGACATATGGACTAGTTTGTGGTCTATGTTAGAAAATGCCCCATGTGTAGCTGAAAGAAATGTGTGTTCAGCTCTTCTTGTGTGTAATACTCTGTATGTGTCCACTAAGTCCATTTTTTCCAAATTCTGGTTCAGTTGTGTTATATTCTTGCACATTTTTTTGTCTACTTTACATATCTTTTTGGCATAAAGAGTGTTAAGGTCTCTTGTTACCTCTTCCTGAATTTTTCCTCTAATCAATATGTTGTGTCCTTCTTTATTATGTTTTGTCATTTTTGGTTTGAAGTTCAGAATGTCTACAAACAAGAATGCTACCTCAGTTTTTTTCTGAGGTCCTGGGGCATGTAGTATTTTTTTTTTCTTTGACTTTCAGCCTAAGAAGTTCTTTATGAGTTAAGTGTGTTTCTAGTATACAGCATATTGTTGGATTTTGCTTACTAATCAACTCTGTCTATTTTTTTAATTGGTGAATTGAGTTCATGTATATTAATGGTCCTAACTGAGATGTATTGACATGATTAAGATGTTATTTACCTGCTCTTGTATACCCCTTTTTCTGCTGTGTTTAATTCTGTGCCCTATTATGTGGGCTTTTTTGTTCTCATTCATGGAGTTGTCGTCTTTTGCTCCCTCTCTACAAAATCTTTTAGTAGTCTGTATAGAGTTGCTTTGATATTGTGAAATCTTTAGTTGTTATTTGTCATGCAAGTATTTCATTTTTCCATCAAACTGCAAAGTGAGTTTTTCAGGTTATAGCAGTCTGTGCTGGAATTTTTTTCTTGGAGGACTTGAAGTACTCTGCTCCTTGCCCTCTTTGGCGTGATGGTTTGTGAAGAGAAGTCTGCCATTATTCTGATGTGTTTTCCTTTAAATGTGATCTGTTTCTTTTTGTAGCCATTTTAGTATATTGTTATTGTTGTGGATTTCTGGGATCTTTATTATTATATGTGTTGGTGTATTTTTAATGGGGTTGATGCTATTTGATGTTTTATTTGCATTGCTTACCTGAATGTCAGATTGTTTCCCCATATTTGGGAAGTTGTCTGCTATTACTTCTGCCCATATTCTTTTTGTATCATTTTTGTTGACTCCTCCTTTCTCATTGGTGCCTATGACTGTTACATTGTTCATTATTGCATCATGTTGCAGAATGTTTCATAATTTTTACCCTGCACCTTAGTTGTTTTTAAGAGATCTTTTCTTAACTTTCACTCACTGCAATGGTGTCTTCAAGTTCTGAAGCTCTAACTTTACTTTCATTCAAGTTGTTTTTCTAGGTTGTTTCTGAGGTTTTAATTTACTTTATACCTCTTTGAATCTGCTTCATGCATTCTATGTGTTTCCTATATTGCTCATTTGAGGTTTTCATCATTTTTTTGTATTCTACTTACTTTTTATCAGTGTTGTATTTGAAGCACTTAATAATTCTTTCATTATAATTATCTCCTTTTTTGAATTCAGAGTTTTTACAATCTGATTTTGTCTATACCTTTCTGCAGTTCTTTCTTTACCTCAGACATTATTTTGTCAGAGATTTCAGGTGTGTCATCTCTAATTCTATGCTGGTGTCTTTTGCATTGGTTCTGGATGGGCTCAGGGCCTAAGAATACATGTTTTGGGGGCTGGGGAGATGGCTCAGGAGAATAAGCGTTTCCCTGGCAAGTGCAAGGGCCTGAGTTCAATCCCTGGTTCGCAAAAACAAAACAAAACAAAACAAAACAAAACAAAACAAAAAAAAAACCTGTTTTGCTCCTTCTCTTTGTCCTTTTGTATATCACTGCTTTCTGATATTTGTTGTAGAACTTTGGTGGGGTTATTATCTTAGCATGTACCGACATTGTTACCAAGGCAGTTTTTTTTTTTTTTGTTAAAGCAGCTGCAGTTTTTTTATTTATAGAAGTATAATTAGCAACACGAATAATAATTAATGAGATTTAGCAGTCGACAAACTTCTTTATCTAATGGGTTTGCTTTTCACACCCTACAGACAAACATTATGACTGCGTAGCTAAGCAAATATTAGATTCGGAATTTGTATTTAAATTAGTTCCTGTACATTCTATCTGATCACCTCCCCTTTTGAAACCTGTAGTTTTCCAGGCAGACTAATTCATCAAGGTTACCTGTTGTCCCCTCTCTCAATCAAGAGAGAAAGAGAGAGGATGCTCCCATAGATCTGGGTTCAGCTTCCTGGGTCTGGATCTACCAAGTTTGAACCCATCCATGTGGGCCTAGCTTGGCCCAGCCTGCTGTGCTTTGCTTCTTCCTTCTGCAGCCTGTGGAAGGGGACCCACTGTGCCCCTCTGGCAAGATGTTCTGCTGCTGAATTAGTTTTTTAGATCACACCCCTTACCTCTCTGAAGTGTGTTTTGCTTCAGTGTTCAACACCAGACTTGTATGATAGAGGAGATTCCAGTGAGCGCAAGGAAGATCCCACTCACATGCCAGGCCTGGGGGCACAGTGGAGTAGAATCTGTAGTCTTGGAAAGTTCCCCTCACATGTCCATCCTAGAGTCCTATTGCAGTAGAATAAGGTGGGCTAAGAAGATCCCACACATATGCCAGGACTGGGGGGAGGGGCTGGGTGAGATAAAATTCTGCGATGGGGAATGTCCCACTCACATTCCAGGCTTGGCGTTCTATTGGAATATAATCCAGTGGGCAGACCAATATTCTGTCTTTAAAGTAAATTTTAAAAGTAAAGCAAGAAAAGGATAGAAAGAAAATGAATTTTACTGAAAATAAACATTAATGTTTAATTATTTGACCAACTTTGCATACTCATATCTGTCAATATCAACAACAGATTTGACAATGTAACTATGCAATATCACATCTTTTCATGAAATTTTTATACTTGATTTGAAACTCTGTATCATGTGCACTGTTGCCTGTTACTCTGTTTTTGTCTTTGTTCTTGCCACTTGTTTTTAAATTTTGTTATATGCATTTGGTACAGGATCTAACTATGATGCTCAGACTCAGAGGGATGCTCCTGTTTTCAGCCTTCTCATAGCATGGATTACAGGCATGTGCCACCAAACTCAGAGTAAGTGGCTGGCTCAGTGTTCCTTGGGTTCTGGTAGATGCTGGCGCAGCGTGTAGTACCGAGGATCAAATCCAGTGCATGTGCTTCCCTAAGCAGATGCTTAGTCAGCTTAGCTATCTTGCCAGCTCTGCTTTTCCTCTTTAAAATAAATAAAACCAAAATTCTGAAAAAAGAAACATAAATAAATAAATGAATAAACTCTAATCTAAAAAAATACATGCTAATGTAAAGAAAAGCAGAAGAGGAAATACAAAGCTACAACTAACAGACCACATGGAGTACTCATCCAAGAGATTAAAAAAGAAAAATACAGAGCCAACAATTTTGATAAACTAAATATGGAACATAAAATTATTTTTATCAACAAAACCTAACAATATAAAGAAATAAGTAAGACGAAAAATATCGCATATCATATTCATATGTGTATCTAGTAAATAGGATACAAATGCAGACATATGGACCAATGTATCAAGTTAGAAAAGGATGCTTATAAAGGTAAGTAGAAATATTTAATCATCCACTGATATTAAAACTCACTGTAGGATTATAATATTCCCTTCATTTAACATGTAAATTTAAGTTAGTGTCATTTTAAATTTCAAAGTATTTCTACTTACATATGTTCAGCCAGTCATAGAAATATATAGGCAAAAAGAGAGGAATTTTCTCAAATACAGCTTCAGACATATTGGCAAATGAAGGTAAGTAGTGAAATATGAAGCCATTTGATTCAGTTACTAGCCTCTTATTTCTGGGACAAATACCCAATACCCAAAATGAAAGAAGGAAAAGTGAATTTAGCTCCCTGTTACTGGAGGTTTCAATCCACACTCAGCTGGCTCCAAGACAGAGTGGCACATGGCAGAGGGCAGCAGTGCCTGGCTGTGGCAAAGAGCAAGAGCAAATGGGAAGAGTAGCTTCAGCTGTCACAACATAGAGCAAGTCTGTCGTTCTTCTGTTGCATTCAAGCTGTTTGCCTCACACCTGGTACAGTATTCACAACAATAATCCCACTGGATCAAGACTTCATCACAAATCCTAGAACTCCATCCCATGACTGCATGAGGCCTTGAGGAGACAACTAGACCCAAACCATAACACCATATACTAAAATAAGCTGTAGTCAGCATATTTCAAACAATCATTCCTGAAGAGGAAACTCATGAATTAATTCTGAAACACGATGATTTACAGACAAAATTTATGATATGATAATCAAAAACAATGAATTCAGGCAGTAAGTTTACACATAAGATAAAATGAGTAACCAAAATGAACTTTAAGCACAAATATGAGGCTATATTACACATGTCATCAGTGAACCAAACAAAATATTTCAAAGTAAAATTCACAATAAAAAAGTAAATGCTAGTGACTTTGACTATTATGGAAAGAAATATGTCTATTCATATTTGAATTACATTTTATATTGTAACCTAATATGTAAACAAAAATTATAGAGATTTTTTGAGAGCCACTAAGAATTTAGGGGGGAAATTATTTTTTTTTAATCTCTAAATGTTTCTTTCTATTGTGTGATTTATCTCTGATCCCAGTCATAGAACTTATCTCTGGTTGTAACAAAATAATGTAGCACTTAGGGAGAAAAATGCAGCCCAGCAGCCCTGCACTGGAGGCCAAGATGGAGAAGACCTCCATGGCCACCATGGCCTTCCCCTTGCTGCTGTGGTACACGGGCAGGAAGGTGACCCACACGCTGCAGAACACCAGCATGCTGAACGTCAGGAACTTGGCTTCATTGAAGGTGTCAGGCAGGTTCCTGGCCAGGAAAGCCACCGTGAAGCTCACCAGGGCCAGGGAGCCCAGGTATCCCAGGACACAATAGAAGGCGGTGAGGGAGCCCTTGTTGCACACGATAATGACATGGCCATGCTCAGAGTGAGCATCTGTGTCAATGTAGGGTGGATTTGTCCCCATCCAGATGCCACAGAGAGTGAGTTGGATCAGGGAGCAGATGGGGATGATGGAGTTAGGGGCCCCTGAATGCAACACTTTCCTTATTCTTCTACCTGGAGCAGTGACCTTAAAGGCCAGCACCACAGTAATGGTTTTGGTCAAAACAGTGGAAACAGCCACAGTGAACACGACTCCAAACGTGGTCTGCTGAAGGATACACGTGGCTGCATTGGGACGGCCAATGAAGAGCAAGGAGCAGAGGAAACAGCAGGTGAGGGAGATGAGCAGGGTGTAGCTGAGAGCCCTGTTGTTGGCCTTGACGATTGGAGTGTCTCTATGCTTCACAAAGAGACCAAGAACAGCAGCTGTGAGAACAGTGAGACTCAGGGCAGTGCCAGCCAGAGCCTTCCCCAGGGCGTCTTCATAAGCCAGAAAAGTCACAACTTTTTGAAGACAATGAGTTTGACGAGTGTTGGCATACTGATGATCTGGACACATTAAGCATTGTTCCATATCTATTGAAAATTAAAATTGTCAAGTGCATAGGTTTTCAATTTCTTTGTTATTCACAGATCCATCCCCGGAAACTCAATGGACTTTAACTATAGTGTTACTTTTCAAATGTTTGTTGTTTTATCTTTCAGTTTTCATTGTTTTTAATGATTGGGATTGAACCGAAACTTTTCACTGGGTTATACTCCCAACACATTTACATTTTATTTTTTGAGATAGGATCAAAAATTATCTCATTACTGAGGTTCCTTTTATACTTAAAATGCACTTTTCTTGGCATACCTGAGCACTTCTCTCAGGTTCTCTGACCACTGGATCCCAGCATGCATCACCACATCTCATTTTTCCATTTCTTTTCAGACACAAAATAACAGAATTGTATATGGACAATAACTCTCAAGTAATACTTATGGAATAACTCATGAATAACAAGATCATTTAGCAGTGATGTCACTTATTCTCCTTTTGTGTCTTCCATATCCATAAAAGACATTTCTCTTTTTCTCCAAAGTAATAAAAATCTACCTATTCAAATCACATCTTTCTAAATTATTTGCTAGTTTATCATTCAATGATTAATCCCATACTAGGAAACCAATATAACTTTCTAACTTCCAGGGGAATATATACATGAAAAAAAAAAAACAAATGTCACACAAATCCATCATTGAGCCTTTGCGTCTGTGAACATGTTTATGCAAAATTCACCTTTAGGTGACCGGGGAGATGACTCAGTAGAATAAGCACTCGCCTGGCAAGTGCAAGGGCCTGAGTTCAATCCCCAGTTCTACCAAAAAATAAAAAAGATTCACTTTTAACTTTTATTGTCCATGTTGTAATTTAATATTTTAATGCTGGTATCTTTCAAATCATTATGAAATATATAATTATATATTTAATGAATTTTTCAAAGTTGCAAAATCAGATTTTAAAATTTCATCTATGCATTCCTTACCACTCAGGTTTGGAAATCGATTGCTTTTTGCATAGATCTTGCATTCCACCAATAATAAATCAAATATCAATTTATAAATTTACATGGATTTTATGATTACAAATTAATATCAGAGGAAATTCATATCCTTTATATTTTTCCTTTCCAATACATATTTGTGCCTGTATGTGTGTGTGTTTGTGTGTTTGTATGTGTGTGTGTGTGTTCACTTTTATTTTTTTATTGTATTTCCCATGACATGGAGTGTAGTGCCTGGTAAAAGTGTGATACAAGCATGGGAAAAATATTAGTCAGTTGCTCTTCAGACAAAGATCTACTATCTACAAAATATAAGGAATTGTAAAAATATTTTGCTGGTAGCATTTAAGACCCAATCAAAAAAAATGAGCATCTACAATGAGTAGACACTTCTCAAAGGAGTACAAATATCAAACAAATACTTGAAAAATGTGCAACATCACTGATCATTCAAGAGATGCAAACTAGAACAATGCTGAGATGCCATCTCACTCCAGAAAAACATAGGTGTCATCATCAAGTCGACCAATAACAAATGGTGGAGAGGCTCGGGAAAAATAAAGAACTTTTTTTGACCCTTACTAGGAGTGTAGCTTGATGTAACCACTGTGGAAATCAGTGTGGAGATTTGTCAATAACAAACACTGCAGGTTTTATTTGGCCCAGATATTTCCCTTCTGGGCATCTTCCCAAAAGAATTAAAAAGCATTATACAACAGCAACTATATGGATATATTTTTATAAAAACACAAATTTTAGTATTTAAATATTGGAAAAAAGTAAATGCCCATCAATTAGTAAATGAATAAAAAGGGATGTGAGGATCAGCGAGATAGCTCAATGGGCTAAGCACCTGCTTTGGCAAACACAGTGATCAAGGTTCGATCCCCATCCTGCATGCCACCACAGGCCCATCCCCCAGGCACCCTGAATGGGCAACTGAGTCTGGGTGAGGTGGCACATGCCTGTAATCCCAACATTGGGGAGGCTGACAAAAGGAGGAGCACTATGAGTCCAATCTATGTGATGAGACCCTGGACCAAATACATAAAATAAAAAAAAAAGGAGGGATGTGTTTGTTTCTATACCATGAAGTACTACCATTCAGCCACAAAGAAGCATAAACTTGAGACATTTCTAGGTCAGTAAACATATGTTCAGAACATAGTCTGATATAAAATAAACAAGACATGCATATGTGAATATTGCATTACTAGGGTCGGGGAGATGGCTCAGTAGAACAATCGCTTCCCTGGCAAGCGTAAGGGTCTGAGTTCAATTCCTGGTTCCGCAAAAAAAAATTATTACATTTCTTCTCTGGTTTGAGAAACTGAAACTGTAAATAAGAACCCAAATGCACAGTAGGTATTATAAAATAGAAAGTATATGTTCAAATGGAAAGAGAAATTGTGGAGGCAATGGAAAGGAAAATTGAAATATGAGGACAAAGGATAAGATAGAAGCAAAGGTTTGTAAATAAGGAGAGAAACAAGGTTGAAAAGAGACGAGAAGATTGGGAAAAAAGAGAAATCAGTATATATCTTTACATGTACAAATTCCCTATAATAAATGTAATCATCATGTATATGTAAATTCTACCAATAAACTTAATTTTAAAAATGGACCACAAATCATAAATCATTCACATATACCATATTTTTCATTAGTGTGAGACTTTTCCTCACAATTTGGCAAGAAATGCTTTTGTTGTTATACAACATTCTTATACCATCTCTACCTACTAGCATTATTTTTCTTTCCTCAGGATCTAGTACATTTACTTATATTTTATACACAGAATTTTCTTATGGCATACTGACCCTGAAAATGTACCTCAATTTTTTTCAATGCAATGAATTTCTTGACAAGGCCGGCAGGATCCAAAGCAGGAGAGTCTGCAGTGGCCTTCCTCCTGGAGAGCCAGATGTTCCAGTAACTGCTCAGTCCAAGAAGACGGAAGCAGCAGAATAAGAAGATTCTCGGACTCAGCACCAGCCTAAGGCCAGCCTGGAAGCTTGCAGGAGAAGCAGCATTGCAAATCTGCTTTAGGAAGATGAAGAAGCTGGAGACTTAGATACACACATCCAAAGGAAACAGCAGAGAATGACACCCCTACTTAAGAAGTCTGGGGCTTTTCAAGGTGGGCACAGTTCCTACTTCTTTCTCTCTATTTCATTCAGATTATAACTAATCCGCATCTGGGATAGATCTTTTGTCCTCAGTCTACTGGCTTACAAATAAGTTATCTCCAGACACACCCAGAACTATGCTTTATGAATCTGATAGGCTTAATCCACTCTAGTGGACATATCGTGGAAAGAGTCATAGTAGTGGCTATGTATGGGTTTTTTTTTGCAAGTTTTTCTCATTCAGTTTATTGTACATTTTAGCTATGCATAATTATCATACACATTATGGGAAACTTGTACTGTACGTAAAATATACTTACTCTCTGCTTTTATCTGGTTTTTCTCCTGTCAAGCTTCTCCACTCATTATTTTCTAAGCTTTGTTTACATTTTATCTTTCTTCTCCTTTTTCTTTTGCCTTCCTTCCCTTTTTTCTTCCCTCTATATTTCCCCCTTTCATTCAGTAGTTTCGACCTTTTTCACAATGCTTTTTACTCTTTGGTCCTTATTTACACTTTCAGTATCTTCCAAAAGAAATAAAAGGGATATTCACACATATGTATTTGATTTATTATACTTAAGACCTAAAATTAAAATAAATAGAGTCTCAGGATGCGTTGCTTTACTCAGAAATATATCGTTTATTCTTCTTTATGGTTGAGCAGTGTGCTATTTAAAAAACACCCCATATCTATTTAGCCCATTCATCAGTTTTTAGACGTTTGTATTGTTTCCGAGATATAACTATTACAAATTGTACTGCCATAAGTATGGAGATGTAACCATTTTTGAGGAACAATACTTTTATTTTTCAAGGAAAACCCCAAAATTAGAAGAGCTGGGTTCAATTGTACCTTTAATTCTAATATTTTGAGGAATTTCCACACTTATTTGTGACCCACAAACAGTGGACAAGAGTTTCTTCTTCTCCACAACCCCTCTAACTTTTGTAATTTGTTGATTTCCTAAAAATATCCACTCCTTCTGCCATTATATGGAATTTCAAAATTTTTAAATTTACAACACTTGAATGATCAGCGATTTTGAAAATTTTTCATTTATTCATTTTCCACTTGTATTTCTTTATTTGAGAAGTGTATATTGATTTCAGATGCTAATTTTTGTACTGGGTGATTAGATTTATGGGATCTAACATTTAGATTATTTATATGTTGTAACTATTACTCCTTGTCTAAGGAGACAATTGGCTAAATATTTTTCACACTCTGTGGGTGTTCTATTCACTTTGTTGGCAATTCCTTTTGCTATACAACAGATATTTTTAAAGGGAAGATCCCACTTGTTGATTTTTTTGTACTATTTCTCATGCAGTCAGAGTTTTGTTCATGAAATCTTTCCCTACACTTAAGTCTTCAACAGTTCTACATATACTCTCTTACAGAAGATCTATTGTTTCTGTTTTAATATTTAGATCTTTAGTTCTCTCAATTTTTATTTTGACCTTGGTGAGAAATATACATGTCATTTTAGTCTTTGGCATATAGAAAGTGATTTTTAATACTATTTATTTATTTAGTTAGTTAGTTAGTTATTTTTGTATTTTTTAGGGAAGAGTCTGCAGGGTGTTCAGGGTCTCACTACTAGATCAGACTTGTAGTAATGCACCTGTTTACATCCTCCCAAGAGATGGGATTACAGGCACGCGCCACCATGCCCAGTCTCAATTGCCATCTCAGTGCACCCTGCGGGTAGGGCTGGCCTGGCAGGCCCAGAGGATCGAACCCTTTGTACCTGTGCTTGCTTGCACAGTACCACCTAGTACCATTTATTAAAGAGACTATTTTTATTCCACCGAACATGCTTAGCCCCTTTGCCAATGATAAAGTGGTTGAGTGTGTCTTCCATTGTGTTTGAATTTTCTGATATGTTCCGTTCATCCTCGAGGCTGTATTTTTTGCTAGTAATTTTTTTAAGCACAGTAGTTTTTTAGGATAATTTCTGTCTGAGATTGTGATAACTTCATTTTTCTTTGTTGCTTAGGATTGCTTTTGCTACTCTAGGACTTTTCTGGTTCTAAATGAAATTTGAAAATGTTCTTTGTAATTCTTTGAAATTATATCCTGAATTTGGAATAGATTATGTGAGTTTAGTTTAAAAAGGAGAGAGGAATGTGAACCTTTTTATTCTAAGTGCATTCTCAGTTCTGAGATAAGCAATCTATTTCATGTCTTAAAATGCATGGCCTCTTTTCATTTTCTCAGAATCTGGTCAGCATTAGTATTCTTGAATCCTTATAAATTTCACTGCTAATGTTGCTAATCAACAAAAGTTTCAAATGAAATATTACACTATGGAATTTTATGTGTAAATACAATGGTGATGTGGACATACAGGTATTATGGAGACTTTTAATTTCTTCTTATGTTTCACTTCTTAAATTTGTCTGTGATTTCACAGATTTCAAGTCATAGATTGATGGGAAATTACTTATATGTTTATGATACAGCTTTTCTACATACTTATGTAAGTGGCCAAATTTGTCATGATAGTTTGTAAAGGTTTTGGTTTTTCTCTTTCTTCTCAATCAATTGTACCAAGATTTGTTACTTTTTGCTATCATAATTGCGTTTAATTGTGCTTATTTTTCCAGTCTTTTACTTCCTTTAAAATTTCTTTCTGAATGCATTCGTCCTTTTTTTTTCTTTGTGGTCAATTTTCTCCAATTCTTTTCTAATGTGTTATGACTATTTAAAATGCAAAAATTCACTCTTTTGATCAAATACCCAACAGTGGAGAAGAGTATGTGTATGGAATGGATATTTTCTCACTACAATTTAGCATCAACTCACAGGATTTTCAACTACTCAATAATGGAATCATGTGTTTCAATCTATTCTATAGACTACATAGGGTTGATACTGCAGGCATGTATTAACTGGTGTTAATGGGTGCATTGTTCTCTACAAGTGTCATGCAACATTTTTTAAAAGCACCACATTGTCACACTCTGTGAAGAACATACACTCCAAATAAATACATGATGAAGTGGTTCATACCAAATCTCTATGAATTTAAGAGAGCATTTAAATTCATACTAATAAAGTTTTGAAATCAAAACATATATTAGCCACAAAAACAAGATGGATAATATTCAGCAGAAAGGTGATTCCACCATGTCCGGATATGTAAAACATAATATTACCGAAGTTGTATTTATGGTGTGCAAGAACTTTAAATCTTAGAGTTCCATAAATTTATAGAAAATTTCAACCCACATCATCATATGATCTGTGATTTAATAACATGGCATTTGCCCTTAGAGTATCTGAATGTTTTGTGATTGGAAAATGTGCTATTTGGACCACTTCTGTTAAATATATGAATGATTTATACCACAAATTTTTATTCTGATATAATAGGAATAGTATCACCTCTGTAAAATTGACCTTGGCACTGTTCTGAAATTTAGGTATTATCACGTGTTATTTCCTTAGGCTGTTCACATATGATCCTTGCAGATTTAGGGCAAAAACTCTAATTCATGCCATAATCTGTCTCTTATTTATCTATGCAATCTAGGTGAACAGGGATGAAATTTTCACATTTGCAATTATACTGTGGTATCATCACGCTGTACATCAAAATCACCTTCTTATTTTTTTTTTTTATCAAAATCAGTCTCTTTAAGTGCCTGCTTTGTGTGAAGTAAAGTGTCCGCCACTGGGAAAATGAAGTATGCCTGAACTTGTGCTGAGTGTGATCTTGCCATTGTTCCAAACAATAAAGAGTTGGCTTTAATCCCACTACCAGTTAAACTTCATGATATAGATGCACCTTAGAATGTGTTGTGTATGGAGTAAAATTCTCTTGAAAAAATATTTTTTAATGGCACTGGAAAAATAAATTGTTTTAGTCAGGTCTTGTTATGCATAACTTATCCCAGGAAATCAGTGGATTAAGACAGTCTCTCATGTCTTTGAGGCAGTCTAAGGACAGTTGGGGATAGTCTGTCTCAAAACAACAAATGAAAATATCTGGGGACAGAGGTCATTCATGCAGTACATTTAGGTTCAATCTCCAGCAATGAAAAATTAACAAACAAAAATAAAGATTGCACTAAAGGGACAATAAATTGGAATTCATATTAAAGGCAAAGTATATTTTGAAGGTAAGTAATTGCACTGAATATAAAAAAATGAAATGTGAAAGAATTTTTTGTTTTAAATTTGTATGTATAAGACAAATATATAAAATATAATTATAATGATACACAGTGTCAATACAGGTTAATAAGTAAATAACAGTGGTAGTGGTATAGCTTAGCAGCATAAGAACTTGTCTGGCAAGTGCAAGGTTCTGACCTCAATCCCCAGTATGAAAACAAATCAAAGGCTGACCCAATAGCTCAGAGGATGAAAGCACCTACTTAGGCAGATGCAGATAGAGGGACCAGGGTTTGACCTCTGGCTTGCCACATCGGCCCTGCTGAGGCAGATATTTAGGTTGTACATGGATAAAGGACTTCTATCTAGAAGGTATAAACAATTGAAGAAAAATAGGGAGTGGTGGTGCATGCCTGTAATCTCAGTGCTAAAGAGGCTGAAAACAGGAGAATCAGTACAAGTCCAATCTGTGTAGTGAGAACATGTAGACACTGTACTAAATATATAAAAATGAAAAAAAACAAAGAAATTAACAATGGCTAAGGTATTGAATATTGTAGTAGATGCTCAGATTAGACAATGTAAGCATGTAAAATTAAACAATAGAAACAAAATGATTAGTATGCTCTACAAGATTATTTCACTTTGTAGATAGATGGAGTGAATATAAAAATAGACTGAGAATTTCAAGATAAGGAATACTCTTACCTGTATCATTGGCAATCTCATTGTCTGCACAAGGAGTGCATTCAAAGCAACAGGCTGACTTTCCCTCCTGAGGGCTTTTTCTAAATCCAGGATTGCAACTCTCACTGCATACTGAGTGGAAATTCTAAGGAAAGAAAATATGGTGTTAACTTCTCATAGTTATATTTTCTTCATCAAAGTTAGAAGGACATACTTATTTTTATATATAAAAATGAAATTATGTATATTTGCAAATACATAGTTAAGTATATATCTTTCTCATTCATCAAAAAGCTTTTAAACAAATTTTTTTAAATTGAAAATTGAGAAGTTCAATTTCCATATAAGCAAAAATTGGCCATTTCATGAGAAAAGTTTGGGGCACAAATTCTATATGTCACTTATTTTGGTCAAAGAAGTGGGTCATATAGGGCCAACACACCTCAGTAATTCCTATGGCCCACTCTATCTTATCCTGAGACAAAGTCATTTTTTTGCCATCTGGAGCGTGTGTGGAAAATGTTCCTAGTTTAACTTTCAGTCGAAGGCCTTCTGGAAAATTCCAAAAATTAAGAATGTCATACTTTGAATCCAGTTTCTTTCTGTAATCCAAGTTCACATGGTCTCCGGCAGGATTGTTAAATTGGATGTTCTTCAGAAATGGATGCAGCTGAAAGAGACACATCCTATGAGAACAGGAATCCAGCATAAAGACAGAAAATATGGATGGGAGAAAGTCTCTAAGTTGTTTTAATTCCGTTTGCATAAATCAATCTGAACACTGGTATCTGTTGAATTACAGCACACAGATGTCTAAGGACTAAAATGTTACCATGTTACAAAAATATTAGTCAGTTTCAGAAGAAAATACTCTATGCAACCCATGTAAATAAAGTTTTGTGGCCAGGGATGTAGCTCAGTAGCACAATATCTGCCTTTCAAATGCAAGACCATGAATTCTATCTATGGTACCTCAAAAATAAAACATTAATTAAATAATTAATCAAGTTTTGTTAGTCAAATCATCAAATATGGACTGAAAACTTCTAATGCCCACAATGTACATCTAACTAAAGAAAAATTGAGCTCATCAATTTCAGAAGTTTACAGGATTAAAAGGAAAATTCCTATAATATGTGCACTGTTCAGTTTAACACTATTTGGTTTCATAACTGACACTTTTTCTGATTGTTTTTTAAGAATGTTACTGGACCTGTTTAAGTGGGCAAGGTACTGATATCCTACAAACAGAATCAGTGAGCTACCTCCTGTTTCCTCTTTAATGCCAGTGGCATCTTGTTTGAGGCTCATGTCAGCTCAACTCAAGAAATGCTATAAGAGAAGTACAAAATCAATAGATACCACAGTTTGTCCATACCTAACTTCTGCTATTGTTAATTATTCTTCTGTATTTAGGATGTCATATATGTTGTAATAAGTTGTTCTTCAGTGTAACAGTATTGTGAATCTCTGGGATGAATACCTCATCACAACCAAAAGACTGGGAATTGAACCAAACGAAAACTAACATATTCTGTCAGTGAATTTGGGAGGTAGGAACTTGGGACAGACAAAAACCAAGAATTTCTTAGCACCGAAGATATGCCTGAAATACAGATTATTCCTGAATTGATCTCAAAACTAGTAAATAGTTATCTACTACAAAAATTCTCAAGGACACCATAAAAGACAAAATAAAAATTATTATGAAATGTCAAAATAAAGGAACAAAATGCAGTCTCAGCCAGTTAGCCCACCAAAAGCAACACCAGGAATAACAACATAAAAGAAATTGGAAACCAAACTCTTGAAATTTCTGAAATAATGACAGCTGAAGTAAAAAGAAAATCTATCAAGCTATGGAAAATATAGGATTACTCATAATCTTTCAGGTATCAGAACAAATAATAGCAATAATGAAAGATTTTCTAAGTATTTGTAAAGAAGACATAGATAAAAATATAAAGAATTATAGAAAAATGATGGAAAGAGAAAAGAACAATATAGGAAATAATTAGAATGCATAAAACAGATTAAAGAGATTAAAAGTTCTATTGAATGCTGGAAAAACTGAATGAGGAAGAGGGGCCCTGTTTGGGACCAGGCAGAGGAACCTTTGGCAGAGAGGTCCAGTTTAGGGCTGTGCAGCTGAACTGTGAGCTAAACCAGAAACAGAATATCTAGCCAGTGGGGCAGAGAAGGTTCACTCCCATGGGCCACAGCAGAAAAAAAACTGAGCACAGCACACAGCAGCCAGACCCAAACCAGGCCCAGTTGGTCGAGTTTGAGTTTAGTAGATCTTGACCCAGTGAGCTGAGCCATACTGCTAGGCCCAGTGGGGCACAGACATAGACCCAGATCTATAGTGTCATACACTCAAGATAGAGGTGGTAACAGGTAACTCAGGTGATTAACTCTGCCTGGAGATTCCAGGTATATCAAAGGGAGATGATCAGACAGAATGTAGGGGAACTAATTTTAATACAAATTCCAAATTTAAAATCTTAGCTATATAGTCACAATGCTTGCTCTTATGGTCTAAAATACAAACCCATTAACTACAAAAGTTTGTCAATTGCTAAACCTCACTAGCAACTACTACTGTTAGTAATAAATAGAAAACCGTACCTGTTTTGTCATAGATGGGAGTTCCATTGCAGTTAGAGAAGTTGTATTTGGAGAATCCTTTAAAGGACATCTCCATATTTAAAGCCAGTCCAAAGATTGTAGGTACTTTAATTCAGCAAAATAACCCAATATAGTCCAATAGTCCATAATAGTAGTGAGTTATCAGCACAACTGGCAATTGTCAGAAGTTGTTGACTTGAGCCTTTTACAGCTCAGCATATTAATATGGCATTACTTTTATACCTCGTGGTTATATTGGGAGCCACAGAAGCTAGGAAATTGATCAAATGTGTGTAGGTGGGATTAGGCCTCACTTCCTAAAGCAAAAAACTACCTCAGCCCTGAGATAAACATCCTGTCTTATTAGGGTCAGCTATTAGTCACTAGGCAACCTTGTGTCATGTGTTACTAACTTTGCAAAAGTATAAATAAAGGACCTTTTTTGTGAAAAAATAGACAAGATAGGACAGACATATAGCTACTTTCTCTTAGTTCATTGAGAGGAAAAGTTTCACCTAATATTATGTAGACAAGATATCATGTCTGCATCCTGTCTTCTGAATAACTACTACAAAGAAAACAATATGCAAGTATTAATTATTGTAACTGTCCAACTAACCTATTTTGAAGCTGTTGCATTGCTATTTTATCTTTTCTCCCATTAAAATGAAGAAAAATAAATAAATAAATAGAAAATAAATAATATGAAATAAAAAAGAAAGAAAACCATATCTGGCTTAACCACATGTTCTGTCTTGGGTAATAATATTGGGAGGTGCTTAGGTAATAACCTCACCAAAGCCTTATACCAAAGGACAGAGGACAGTGACAACCTGAAATCAATATCTCTCTATCAATCAATAGAGAGAGCAAAATCTTGGAACACACACAAACCAAGAATCTCTGACTCAGAAGACATAACTAAAGAACAGACCCTTCAGAGAGAGGCACTGATCACAGCGATGCAGCTAACTACTATTAAACTTTCACAAAGAAAGATTACAGAAGTCAAGCTAAAAACTTCTCTCTTAAACATAAAATGACAAAAGGAAGAAGAAAAATGCAATCTCATGTCCCAAACCCAACCAGAACAAATGCAGGAGAAAGTAGCAATAAAGAAGTAGGAAGTCACACACCTGAAAACTCTGATATACTAGCATCTGAAGTAACGAAAAACTGCAGAAGGGCATAAAGAAATTCAGATCAGAAATCAGCATCCACAGTAAAGAAACAAATGCAGAAGGCTGCAGAGGAAATCATATTAGAAATAATCTCTGAGTCCTAGCCCAGGTCCGGTGAGTGTGCGGAGAGTTTCCTGCTAACCTGCGCCAGCGGGACCAGTCCCAGCC